CAATTACCTCTTTACAACAGCAGTTACAGACATATTTCTGTAATTTTATTGTCTATAATCAATTTCAGTTTTATGCCATTCTTCAGCCCATGGATCCAAATTTCATTTCGAAGCAATCAAAACATTTTTGTTTTCAAGAAGACTGAAATGAATCAATCATGGATCAAAATTCTAATACTTCAACGTGTTTCTAGAATCTTTTCAAAAAGACTGAAATGAATATTTCGAGATATTTCGAGATTTTTCAGCATATATCAACCAACGTTCCGGAACCTTTTTGAAACAAATTCTTCAATTTTTTATCTATTTTTATTCTGTTTCCAAAGCGTTTCTATTTCTAGGGTGACCAAAAAAATGCACTGTAATGAAATTTTGATCCTTGGTTCAACCATTGATATGAAACTTGCTCGTTAAATGTTTAAATCCCTATTCTCAAAAGCAGCTCCAATAGCTGGGTAATACTATCACAAATCTAGTCTTTGCTGCATTCCCCTCCTACTCTTATCACCTACAGGACAAGCTGGGAGCCTTTCTCTTCTCATAAACAGAACGGCTATACTCTTGTAATCACAATAGGAAATATAGTAGCGGATTCGTCTCGGGCGTGCGTGCACAAACACACACACACAGAGGGAGATATCAACTTACTTGAGGACCTTCAGGGTCGCTTAGGAGTGTATCCCAAATGAGAACACTGTCCGCAAAATTGAATTCTTGGGTCAAGAGGAGGGTTATCCATCTAAATGCATAAAACTGGGGATTGACCTGTCATTTTCACATCCATATTAGTCAGGCAAAGTACCAGTAAAATTTAAACCACTAGCAGTTCATTATGTTTGACATCAATCATAAGTCAACATCCAACAATGCTAGACTGAGAAACTAAAACTATCTCATTCAAGATATGTAAGTCCTATTAGCTTAGAATTTAAATATAGATATCAAGAGAGTTTGTATCTCACATAGAAACATTCGGGCAACCCAAGTTTGATTAACATGGTTGAATGGTCTTTCCATTCATTGCTAATTGGTTTAGGGTTAGATACCTCCCAATATAGTATCAGAGCTAGGACTTAATTGCTTAGTGGGAGAAGTCTTCACACATTTGAATTTTCCAATTCGTCTTGTCTATTTTGATTTGATTTGTTAACTCACATGCTTGTCTCACATGAGGGATGTGTAGAGAGATTTTAATCCATATCGTAAGATTATAGCCACCCGAGGTTGGTTTATTTGATTGGGGAGCCCCCCACGGCCCCACCTATTGCTAATTGATTTTGGGTTGGAAGCCTTTAAAAATAAATATAGAAAGGAGCCATATACTGATGCACTAACACTAGCAATTGATCTATTAGGAATCAAATACACCAAAAATAGGCATAAAAAATTTAAATTTCAATGATTTTTTTTATTAGATGCGAAATACACTGAAAAATAGGTAGCAGTTAACTCGAGGTAGATTACATCACAGGTTTGACCAGGGCCCACCTGAGAAACCTAAAATAATCCTGTCATCCCACACTGAGACAAGGAAATCCAAATTACTTCGTGTGCCCGGTAGGAAAAAAGAGAAATGATGCACAGAAAACAACAGAATGGTTTTTCCTCTCTCTACTGTTATTTTCCTTTTATCCTTGCCACCCTCTCTTTATAATCACCAAGCAAGAGAACATTGTGAGTCCTACTCTCTTTCTCTGCCATTTTTTCCCATCTTCCGGAGTTTTCTCTCATCAACCAAATGAGGAAAAAAAAACCCAATCTATTCTACCCTTTCTCTCTCTTTTCATGTTCCATGTTGTACCCTCATTTTCTCCTTACCAAGTCCGGTGAAAATGGTTAAAAATTAGAGCTAAATATAGTAGTGGATTTGTCTAGGACCATTTTTTCTGGCCAAACCAGGACTCTTATCACCTTCAAAGATCAAAATTTTGTTTCATCTCCACCAAAATGATCTAATTGTTTTGATTTCACTGGAAAGCATAACGAATCAATAATGAAAACTCCAAATTCGTGCTTCAGAACAAAAATTCTGAATCTTTTCTCTTTCTTCATTTTGTTTCCGGACATTTCCCAAAAAGTCTATTTCTGAGCTAACCAAATCTATACATTGAAACAAAACTTTGGTCCTTTGTTACCTTTATGTGCTGCGCAATGGTTCTTGTAAGGCTGATCATCCAATGAATGCTCTCTTTTTGTTCACATTAGAGAAATGTACTCATGCACTTTAGGAAATCTCAACAAGAAAAATGAGGAGTTTGAAAATGAGATCTCATGCAAGGAACTAATGTTTAATCAGACCTTTTTCCTTTTCCTGTCATTTAATTGTTAAAAAATACCACATCTTGCACACAAGATGACTGCACATCCTTTAATCAATATAAATGGTAACATACAAGGTATCATTGGAGAAGACTCACACCAAATATATGTGCAACCTAATACCAAGGAGACTGATGACGAATGAAAATTATACAATACACTCCAGTAAAAAATGACACTCAACAAATGTAAATGACTTGATGCCTTACTTTGGTTGTGACCTCGAGATGACGCCAAAGCTCTTCATCATGCTCCTTTAGAAGCTGTGACAGCCTTGTAATTGTGGAACGAATTCCCACAACACTATTGTCAAGTTGCTGACAGAAATTATCACGGAATCCACTCAATAACTCAACAAAACAAAAGAATGTGTCTGCTTCCGCAAAGGCCTGCATAACTTGAAGACACAAAATGATAAAAAGAAGAAAAAAAAAGGAAACAAATGGAAGTTGATGCATATATTTGCTGAGCTCACAAAAAATAGTAATCAATGCAAACTTCTACCACAATCACCATCACTATAATCACACAATCTCTTATTTCAGTGTTTCATTGTTCAGCACATTTTTACTTTTTAGAATTTCATGAGGTGCAAAAGTATGCCTTTTTTCCATGGAACATATTTTATTGAATATCAGCTACATTCTAACTCATGAATAAAGGGCCATTAGTTAGTTCAATGGTAAAAAGCTCAGGCAGTACATGCCAAACTCCCACTTTCCTAGCAGGAAAAAAAGGAAAATAGAACCTTTCTTTATTTTTAAGCATGAGAATGCAGGTTCAAATTTGAGAGTAGTCACTTGGTGCAAAAATATCAATTGTTAAGTTTACATCTAATTTACACGTCCTACCACCCTATATAAATGAGATTGCACTGAGCACTGGCCTTTTTTTACCGGATCCACTTAATCTTCTATACTAACATGGGCTCATTAAGGTGTTGTATGTCTGACAGCAGTACTCCACAAACTTATCCACACAACAAGCTAGCAAATGAAGAATGCACATGGAAAATATGGTGGAAAAAAATTGCATTTATTTGCCATTCTTGAAGACACCAGTTAAGCACACTCCTGATGGCAGGTGTGTTCCATGAAGGGTCTGAAATCACTTAAATGTGACTCCTGCACCCAAATGCTTTTGACATCACTTTTGACAAGGGATTATGTCTTTTTATTTTACTACCACTATTGGAACAACTTTAGACATGAAAATAAATTAATGCAACAGTTCATATCAAAATATGAAAATTTAAACAAAAAAAAAATAAGAAGACCAATTTACTTACCGCATTTTCCTCATTCGAATCATTTCTGAATACATAAAATAAGGGCGCCAGTATTTCATTCATCCCTTGAACATATCTTATACCCGGATTCAATTTTGCAAATATAATCAATATGTTCTTCAGAGCCTCCTGACAAAACAGATATATTTAATTCAGCCCAAGTTTCTCATGCTTATGTCAAACTGCATACCATTAGATACAGCTCACCTGATTGGAGTTTGCAAGTGGAGAGTCCCCAGAAAAGAAGTGCATGTCTGGATGTGTGCGCTTCACATCTCGATCAATTTGCTCCATGATCTCTGTGTCCTGCAAATGGTAGAGTTGGCATCAATTAATTAATAAATAATATCAAATTTTGCATATATACACCCAATTACACCATAGTTTTCAGCTCATAGTCATGTTTCACGATACACCATGGGCTGGCCAAGACACACTAGATTATTGACATAATGCACCCAAAAAATGTGGGCACAGATAAAGCATCAATTGAAAGGTGGCCCCAATCATTGTGAAGATGGATGCTGGTATATGCAGAAAAACGTATGAGGTACAAATGATCAGTCCTGGCCAGAGGTCTTCTCACAAGTGAAAAACATTCTCCCAAAAGAAAAAAAAATAAAATTAACCAGTGACTAAGATAGTAAGAAGTTATCAGAACCATCACCCATTCTCTTCCCTTATCACTGTCTATGAGGCCAGAGAGTATACTTATAAGACAACTGCCTCGTAGGCCAACTGGTTAGGGGTTCAATTCCCCTTACTTCCACACCAACACTCCCTCAACCCCCAGGGGTTGCTTAATGGAATCAGTTATGCTGCCTTTTGAGCACCAGATATTGTAAGAGGACTATTGCACTGATAAAGGTGTTTCGAAACATACAGTAATATGTGATAAATTAGACAACATCCGAGTTCAATTATAATATTCAAAACTACTTTGAAGCAACTAGCAGTTAAAATAATACCTGAAAGAATTGATTCCAGATGCTGGTTGTCCCAAGGCTCAAAGGATGCTCTCCTTGAGGTATTTCTGATCGTGAGAGTAAGCCCTTGTTTTCACCATTAGATCCATCATTTTCAAGACTTGTGGACTTTTCCAATCTGCGTGCGATTTCTGACTGACTAGGCACAGAAACATTCAGAAATCCAAAATATTTGAAAAAATGTAAATGCACCCAATAAACACAAGCACGATAATCATAGTTGATTCCATAAATTCAATTTTTGCTATTTGATTATTTTAACCTCAACTTCCCAATTAAAATCCATATGAAAACAACTCTAGTGGTTATGATATCCAGGAAAGAGACTTGGTTAATGCTCTATTTGGACTGGGGGGAAGGGAAATTAAAATAGTGAAAAAATGAAGAGACAATCCAATTATTTTTCCTTGTTTGCTATGGAAGGAAAAGTGAGGGAACACCCAAGAGAAAACCCATTTTTTAAGGTCCAAAAAAAAGATAACGATAGTTAATAGTGGAGGTTAAAGAAATTGATGGGTCCAAGGGGGAAAAAATTCATTCCTTCAATTTCATTTCTCCCCTTGGATTGAAGCCACACAAGGGGAATGAAAATGAAGGAAATTAAACATTTTCTCTTCATTTCCTGTCTCATCCCTAAAACAAACAAGGGATTCGTGTTTTGTGTGACATTTAGAATTAGTAAAAAGTTATATCACAATTCACCAAATGTGTACTAGATAACAAGAAGCTAAGGCTACATTGTCTTGAGTTACAAAGCTGAAAGGATACACAGCATCAGAATTAGCAAAAAACTATTCAAGTATTTCGATATCAACGCTTATAAATGGAGACCTGGTAAACCTTCCAGAGCTTTAAACATTCACCATTTCCTAAAATAGTCAACAGTAATACATGACCAAGTTCAGCGATGAAATGGCACTGCTGTTTCATTCTCATTCTACTTAAGTCAGTTTCATAAATTGAGGGCATGCATACTCAAAGATCTACAACTTACAGGATTCATCAGTAGGTCCTCTTTAAAATGCTTGTACTGAGACCTCTTCTTACCAAGTTCTAATGCCCAGACCGCTCGATCCCTTGGCAAATACCCCAATAATAACTGCAATTATCCAGTACAGTAAAATTTTAGACTCCAAGATTCATGAAATCCAATTTTTATTCTAAATAGAAAATCCAGCCCCCCCCCCCCCCCCCGGGGGGTCCTTTGTCTCTCTCCAACTGTACCTTCCAAACCGTAGAACGAATTCCATCACCATCGGGTATTCCTTGTGACGCCAGTCTCCTCAATTCACCCATATTTATTACTTTCTTCGAAAGCTAAATTCACCAAAACCAATAATTACTTCATCAAAAAACAAAACAAAAACCCTAACAAATGCATACACAAATAGATACATAAAAAGAGATGACCAAACCTCTTGTAAGAAGTGAGCCTGGCGCGAAATATCCTCAGCCAAAGAAGAAGAACTCTTGATAGCAGTAGAACTCCCATAATCCTCATGGTCATTACTATTACTGTTCCCACTACTCAACGGATCCCTGATTTCCCCAACAGAATTAGACTGCGAAGCTCTCACAACAGCCGGTGGCGGCACCGGCACAGGCGGTTCAACCGGTGATTCCGCAACAGTAGAACTTGCGATGGATTTGGATTTGGATTTGGCGGTGGAGGAGGTGATAGCAGAGCGGTGGATGCGATAGTTCTTGTCCTCATCGGAGGCGTCGTTGGAAGGCGGTGTTGGTGTCAGTGGTTGTGGATGTTCAGGAGGAGAGGAGGAGGACCAGAGGGAGCTGTTGAGCCAATCAGGGACTTTCTTCTTCACCATCTCGATCTCGGCAAGTGGTCCCAAAAATGGCGTCGATAGAGTGATGTAGGCTTCGAGAGTTCCCAGAGCTCAACGATTTGTATCAAACTCTTCCTCCTCCTCCTCGTGGAGATACCACACACAATCAGCGTGTAGCGGGGGCAGAGATAGAGAGAGAGAGAGAGAGAGAGGGAGAGACAAGTGGGGGAACTGGAAGTCGCCAGGCAGGGTTGGTTTTCACGTTAAGATCACGTGGCAGGAGAAGGATAATTCGTTCAGTTTTTTTTTTGGCAATCATACTTTCCACCCTAAAAAATTTAAGAATTTTTATTTTTTATTATCAAAGATAAAACTTCTCAAATTATACCCTCAATATATTAAATATATTATAGTGTGAGTCGTGTGACTCTTTCGTTAGCTTTTGTTGTTCATTCCATCAAAAATCACCTTGTTAACATTAATAGAATAAACAACAAAAATTAATTAAGAATATAATATGTGAAATTTAATTTAGAAGGTATAAAATAAAATTTTTAAAATCTTATGGGGTATAAAGTGAAATTCTCTCCACCTAAAAGATTTAAGAATTTTTACTTTTCACTTGCGAATATTAAATTTTTTAAATTGTACCCACAATATATTAAACGTGTTGTAGTGTGGCTCTTCTATTAATTTTTGTTATTTCGTAAAAAATCACCTCATCAACATTAATAGAATAAACAACAGAAGCTAACAGAATGATCATATTATAATATTTTTAATATATTAAAGTGTAATATGAGAATTTAATAAGAGTATAAAATATAAATTTTAAAATTTTTGGAGTACAAATGAAATTCTCCCTTTTTTGGGTGGGGAAAGGTGGAAAGATTTCAAATGATATTGTGGTTCATAATGATTGTAAGTTCTTTCCCCACATTACTTGTTTGGTTCATTTAGTTTCTTCCTTGTCATAGCAGTTTCTTCCAATATGCCAATGGTATGTAAACGTTAAGCAAATGACAAAGCCAGCCCAGAAAAGGGCAGACAATATTCACATGCTCACTACCTTATCTATTGTTCTATTCTCCTTGCCTCTCTTGCAAATTATCTCTCTTTTGAGCAATATGGCTCGGGGCGAATTATACATTGACCCCTTCAATTATGTATATTATTTCACATTGTCCCCTCTACAATTATGCGTCTTATATTGCACTTCAATTAAATGACCACCGATTGCATACCTCCCTTCATAAATTGGATAGGAAGTTTTGTCATTTCATCTTTTGAATTGTGTGACTTTATCTTAAAAATCTAATAATAAGTGGAAGTCTTTTATCCAAACACAACATACGTTTGGTTTTTGTGCAACATGAAACTAAACTTCTGCTCAAATGACATTCTCTAACTTGCAACAACTTTGTCTTACGGTCAAGAGTTTAAGTTTCTTAGACGAAAAAATGCATGGTTAGTTGATAGGACGGATCTCAGTTGTTTTGACAAACTGAACTTACAAACTTGAGCCATATAAGTGCACATCTACTTACCGAGGACACACCAGGGATTTCTCCCATTACCAAAAAAAAAAACAAATGAAACCAAACCAATTTAAGTAATTGACAAGGATGATTTGAAAAACTCAGAAAAATGGGATGAAGTGTAATTTACCCTTATGGATGAATAAATGAGCAATGTCAAGTGCAATTATATAATTGCTCAAAGCAAAGGAGACAGAGAGGTACTTTCTCACACCTTCATCAGGCTGGCCTGATAGAGCTCATTATCATCTATAATGGACTATCTTTTTTCAAGGATAGATTTAGAGGGAAAGTAAAATCAGTTGTAGATATGTCCCGAAACACCTCAAAATTTTTTGGTAGAAATGAAACAAAATTTTCATCATTACTTCTAATTTTGACTCGTAAAAGACTAAAAGCTCGTATTTTGGGCAGGACCTGCCTACCACACGACTGACAAAGCTTGAGCTTTAGGCTCCATGTTCGTAGAAGGCCTTAAAATTTCTATTTTTTATAGTTAGTCCAAATAAGAAAAAAAATTAGATTCATAAGATTATAGGCGTTAAAAAAAAGTTTTATGAAAATTTAAATACAATCTAAAATAAATTCGAATAATTTGGGTCATGAATCCAACCAATAATATTAAAAATATATCAAAATAAATTTTTTAGACAAAAAAAGCAAAAGCTAGGTGTTAATAAAATAATTTCAATTGGTCAATTAAAACACACAAACACCACTCACTTGTTACCCCCTCTCTCTGAGGTAAAAACGTCCTCCCTCTCATTCACTCACTACTAAACACAAATCCTCTTCTTCTCTTTTGTGCTATGATTTTTTTTTTATTTCTATTATGAAAAATATACCAAAATATTTTTGGTTTTTAATTAAACTTGAAAAATTAAAATCAATTGTTTAAAATTTGGAAATTAAAATTGATAAAATCTTCTTTAAAACTGTTTTATCACAAAAAATATTAGGTGAATTAGTGATACTATTAATATAAAAAGATATGTTAGCGAAACATAAAAAGTAATAGTATTTTTAATCTAAAAAAAAGAATAAATTTTAAATTAAAATTTCTTAATATTAAAAATAAAAAACCTCAAATAGTCTTGGGCTGTCTCTGATTTTGGGCATCCATAACATATGCCCTAGAGAACTAGACAAAACCTCCTCCCTATCTATTCTAGATTACCCACAGCCTGTTTCATACAGTAGGAAGAATTAAGTGACCACATTTTTATGTAGTCACTTCTAAATGTTTTTCAGGATCTCGACTGGGAGCTTCTCAGGAGGGAAGCAGAGCCACCTCAAGAGGCATATTTTTCCTCCTCCTCCTCCTCTCTCTCTCTCTCTCTCTCTCTTCTTTTTTTTTCTGTTCTTTTCTCGGTTTTAGATGGCTCTGAATCACTGTTTGTGTTTTGGTCGAAACACCACCATTTTGACCAAAACAGTACAAAATAGTGATGTTTTGATCGAAACTCTTGATTTGTGGGATTCTTCCCTAGTTTCGTATCGGTGTGTTAAAAAACATAAACATTTCGTATGTTTCAAACGTGTCAACATGACATTTCGATTCGTATGTTTCAAACGTGTCAACACGATATTTCGATCCTTGCTTAAGGGTCCCATTTCTAGAAGAGTAAACCAGACTTGCTCTTTAATATTTTAGGTGCCACTGAAACAAGCACAATGTCACATCTCAGAAATCTTATACAGTTCCTGGTCCTCTGAATCATGTGCAAGAATCACATACTCAGGTGGGAAAAATTCCATGCCGGTAAGATGTCTGTTCTTTGAAAAAAAAACCACCACCAACGGTGCTTTGTCGAAGTATAGTCACATGTCGCTGATACATTTCCACTGCCCAACTTGAAAATCACTCTCAACTGCACTCTCCCTTTCATGGGAGAATTTTATTGAAAAGATTGAGCGATACATAAGAAAACGAAGGGGCAATCTGAAAAGATCAACGTATTAGCAACACCTATGTAACATCACTTTTGGAAGCAGTTCAATAAACAATATTTTTAACAATCATCAGAAAAAAAGACGAAGAAAATCTAACAATGTACCGATGGTTGCAAATTAAGACCATGCAGCAACATAGCAGATAAAGTGGAGCAACTGTTGCAGCAATCACCAACCGCAGATCCACCAGCAATGGCTAATCTCAGTGGTTGTAAATTGTGAGCTGCCCCCGATAACTGAGCAGATGAAATCTAACACAAGAGAGGTGTATAGAAGCAACAAATGCAACTGAATTTAAAGCACCAGTAGAGTTAGGTAACCAGAACAGCTGCGAGGTGCCCCTGACAATTGCAGAAATCATACTACACCCAAGCCAACAAACCTTCTGCAAAGTCCCCATAAGCTTTCAACTTGATAGAGATCCCCAGGAACTTTCGGGAATGCTCCACAATTGAAGTATACTACTACTTTGAAGCTGTCCTTCCTTTCCAATTAAATGGTATTTTCTAACCCAGTCAAACCACATATAATTGCTTCCATCAATCGGTTAGTGCCAACTGCCAAATATGTCTTACCTCTAAGGCTTTGATCAAATTTACCAGACTTTGCAATTCCCAAACCCCCTTATTTCTTTGATCTACATAAGATCTCCTAAGCAATAGCCAATAATGACTCCATAACTTTTAAGCTCTATGCCAGACCATTGGAATGCCATTAAAGATTGTTTAATTTTTCACTGGCACCTTCTTACCCAAAATAAACAGGTTAACCTAGTATATGTGGAAAGTAATGCGTATAGACTATATCAGTTCCAGTTCCCATGCATAAAACACAGACTTTTTCGCCCATGATTTCACCTTGCTATAACTTTCTCAATAAGAGAAATGCAATCTCCACATTTAGCTTTACAACATAAGTAGATTTCCAAATACCACAAGGGAAGAGTTCCACTAGCAAATCCAACGCAATCGGAGAGTGAGACCATCTGTTTTTCAGCACTGTCAATACCTGATGCGGATGAAATAACTATTAGTAGAATTGACTTTGAGGCCAGAGAACCAATGACATTGATTGAGAGCATTTCTTAGGACCATAAATGAGTTTAAATCATCAGAAAGCCTAAAGCATATTAGGAACACCTACTTACGAAAATGCAATAATATTCTGTCGGTGTCTGTCCATCTCATGGATCTTCATGGCTCCATTAAAAGTTACATAACATTTGAAGGCACTTAAGCTTGAATTCTTTGTCCACCATTTTGCACCTTTATCTTTCTCTGATCAAAGTTTTTTTCCTCGGTAAGTTCTTTGATCAAAGTTACTGTTTACTATCAACCCAAACAGAAAACATGCAAGCAAATGAAGATATACTATAAGAGCTGGTCTTACAGTTAGTGCTTCTTTCCTAGAAATAATAAGTACATAAAGTCATTTCTGGAGGCAACCGTGGGAATCTATAACACCTTGTATCTCAGATGGCCTTCTGAGAAAAATCTACCTTGGATAGCATGTTGAGAAAAATTTACACTTCCTGTGAACTAGTACAATACAAGAGTAGGCCAAACTGAAATGTTGGGTCATCCCCAAAAAGTAGAGATGAGAAGGGGCCCATAAGAGTGCTATTGTTCAATTGTACTGCAAGGAAAAGGGAACACCAAAAAATTGCGATGGAGTAGTTAAAGAGTAAATAGAGAAATAAATGAAGAAGGCCTATGATTCTTCTGAATGCACATTCGTTGATTGAGAAAAAAAGGTTAAAGTGGATAACTGTAGCCGAAACCTGATAGTTCAGATACAGTTTGATTAAACCAAATTACTTGGTAAGTTTCTCACAGCAAAACTGGAGGCTATATCAGTTTAAATGTTGAATCTCCAGGAAAGGCAGTAGTAAATTTACAGTTTCTACTGTAAGACATTGAATGGCTACTCTAAATGAGTGGAAAAGAAAGAGAATGCCACAAAATTGCATGTTAATATGACCTTAACCAACCTTCTGGGAAAAAAAATGACCTCAACCAGAAATCAAGGCTACAAGTGCGTACTGTCACCAAAAATCTTGGCATGAGCAAGTTCCGTCCTTGAAAAGGTGGAAACGCTTTATATCCCTCAATACAATCTCTCTTGGACTCATCTTACTGACATATTTCATCATAGAATGGCAATCTCCACAGACTCTCAAGTTCTTTACAATCCTAATTCCCATCCCAGGAGCAGTGCTAATAAGCCCAAAAGCAAGTGCCAACTTTTCACTATGACTTCCCAATGCATCTTCCTTCTCTTCCTCTTCAATGTTATGGAGTACCCACTCAGTCTCAGGCAAGTAACCTCGTTCTCTTGCACTTTTTGTCATTTCTGCCAATTTTTGGTATATCTCTTCTGCGCGCTCATGAGCATAATCACCAGCCCCAAAACTATGCAGCCGGCCCTCAACCTCAATATAACTCCACCCGGGATCTTTATCTACACCTCTATCCTTCATTGAAATTCTCACTCTTTCTACATCTTCCCATCTCCCTGTCCCAGCATATATATTGGACAAAAAGACATAATTCCCAGGATGCTTAGGCTCGAGCAGCATGAGCTTTTCTGATGCAAATTCTGCCATTTCGATATTTTTGTGAGCCCTGCAAGCACAAAAAAGTGCCCCCCATATCACGAAATCAGGTTCTAGTGGCATGCTTTGGACAAAACTGAGAGCTTCATCTAGCTGACCTGCCCTGCCATATAGGTCCACAATTACTGCATAATGTTTCATGGTGGGCTCAATGGAGTAGTTTAGCCTCATCCTTTCAAAGAAATAAAGTCCCTGTTCTACTCGTCCAGCATGAGCACAAGCAGTTAACACAGCAAGAAAGACAACTTCATCTGGTTTTACTCCTGCAACATGGACATGTTTCAATCCTTAATATAACCATTTAGATAAACAAATAAATTGCACATGACACACCCTGATCAATCTTTTAATATAATTATGTAAATGTTCAAACAAGTTCCAAAAATCAGTATAAATTCCATACCTGCCAACTTCATCTTATCAAAGCACTGAAGTGCATGCTCAACATGCCCATGTATCGCCCAACCCCATACCATGACGGTCCAAGTACGAAGGTCCTTCTCTTTAGTCTCACCAAAGATCCGACTTGCAGAATCGATATGCCCACATTTTGCATACATATCCACCAAAGCAGTCCCAATAGCTCTGTTCAACTTAAATCCATTGCTAGAAATATAATTATGAATACGAACCCCAGCTTCAAGTGCTCCTGTCTTAGCACAAGCTGAAAGTGCAGAAACAATAGTTAAATCATTAGGCCTCACACCCTCCACCAACATGTTGGAAAACATATCTAAAGCCTTCTCCTGCCGCCCATTATGTACTAACCCAGTAAGCATAGTGGTCCAAGAAACTACATTCTTCTCCAGCATATGATCAAAAAGCTCCATTGCTCGGTCCACCTGTCTATCTGTCATCAATCCATTAATCAAACTATTCCAAGAGCCCACATTCCTCTCCGGCATTGCCTCAAACAACTCCATAGCCTTCCTCAACTCCCCAGCCTTACAACACCCATTAATCACCACATTCCATAACAATATACTCGCAAGCTTATTTCTTTCAGTACTTTCATCAAATAGCTGTAAAGCGCGACCCAACAGCTCGAGTTTCACATACATATCAACCAAAGAAACTCTAACAAACGAGTCAAACTCAAGACCCATTTTCAAGATTCTACCATGAACAACCTCACCAAGTCCTCTTTCACACAATGCCACAATAGATTTGAGAACAAAAGGGTAAGTAAGCCTGTCAGGCTGGATATTCAACCGCAACATATAAACAAAATAAGAAATTGAGCTCATAAAATAAGCATTTTCGGCTAATCCTCTAATCAATACATTGAAAATGAACAAGTTTGGATGATCGAATTGCCGGAAGATTGACAAAGCGTAGCTAATGTTCTTGAGTAAAGAACATGAAGAAACGAACTGGGTTATGACCCGACTGTTTGAGTGGAGGTTGTGACGGACGATTTGAGCGTGGAGTTGTTGGAGTTGTTGGGTGGTTTTGGAGGCATGGATGAGAGATATGAAGTGTGTTTCACTAGGATTAGCATTTCCTTGGTCATGAGAGTTGGTTTGAGTAGAGCGTGGAGAGTGAGAAGGGGCTTTTTTGGGAGTGGTGGGTGTGGGGGTGAGGGTGGCGGGAAAGGAGGTTGGTTTAGAGAGAACATGACGAGTTTTCCTCATTCTAGAGTTTCATTTTGAAGTTTGGAAGGAAATATAAGGTATTCATTCGTAACTGTTTTATAACGGTCAAAATTTGGGACTAAGTTGACATCAACCACTATAAGTTTACGAATTCAGATCCCTTCGACCATCTTTTTAGTTGGGTTAATTACAAAATACTCCCTTCAGCAATCCACATTAGATTGCAAGTCTAGCCAGGCTCCAAAGTTAGTAAATCTCACTATAACTTAGGTTCTGTTACTCTTTATGGCACAATTTACAACTGCAACGTACACAAATTTCTCTTGAACTAACACTCAGTACCTTTTCTCATATAAAGCATCCAAACACTGATCAAGTATACTCTCTTTCTCAAGCTGAACGTCCTCAGCACCGGACACAAGCACATTATCCGACCGGAAAGTCGACGAGGAACTCACGCCATCGGTGTCGTCACTATCCAAAATCGCAGCATTCTTACGTTGAGAATTTCCTACAACAAGAACTCAATTCACATTCAACACCAATCTTGAACAAGAACATAAAAAAGAAAACGTTAACACAAACAATTATCAACACCGACGGGATTATTAGCTCAATTATCTAGAAACCGAAGGGATTTTTAGCAAAAACTCATATTCTAGGGTTTCGCACAATTTTAAAAAAAATCTAATTAGTGTATAATTATACTATTTATTAAAATAAAATTAAAAAATCAAACAAGAGATTTAAGTCGTTCATAATAAAACATGAATTTTACAATTAAAATTTATTTTTTACTGTGTCATTTATTGAAATAAAATCAAAAATAAAATTTTGTTCTTAAAAAACATAATTAGTATACAATTATACTATTTATTGAAATAAAATTAAAAAATCAAACAAGAGATCAAACTGTAATAAACACAATATATTCTAATTTTAATTAGGATAATTTGATAGTTTAATGTGGTCGTTTAAATTACTAAATTAAATTTCAATATATAGTGTAATTGTATATTGATTATGATTTTTTAAGAAAAAATAGATTTTTATTTTTTGTATTTATTGCATTAAATGAAACAATAGAACATGAATTTTGATTTTAAAATTTAAAATATTTGATATTTTATCTTTGATTGAAGTATTTTTTGTCTAAATATAATATTTTAAATTTGAGAGGTCTAAATATTATAACGGACATTGACGGCAGGAATCTAAGTATAACGTGCGTACAAAATTAAAGGAATTTGTGTATAATATTTCAAATGTTAGGGGTTTAAGTGATTAAATGACAAATTTCAGGATCTAAGTGTAATTCTCCTAACAAAATACGCTTAAAACCAAACAAATTGGACTTAGCCCTAATACCAAAATTATTTTTGTAGTTAACAGAGGAGCTGAAGGCTGGTTGTCATTCACTTCCCTCTTCTTCTTCGTCTCCAAAACCTTCTCACTTCTCTACTCTACACAAACTGACTCTATCCGCATACCCACTTTTGATAATGACTACTCAATCAAAACCCTAATTCTCCAGTTTTCCGAGGACGATGGTGAGCTTGCTCCACAATGATTCACTCGTGAATTCTACACAATCCAACTTCCAAATTCTCGATGGAACCAAAGACCCAATCAATTCCCTCATCATCATCATCATCATCATCATCATCATCATCATCATCATCATCATCATTGGCATCGGAGAAAGTGAAGGTGATACAATGGGAAGATTTCGATCAAGAGCTCGCGCGTCTCTTGAGCCTCTCGTCCGCCCTCACCGAAGCCAAGCAGAACAAGTTGTTTCTTCAACAGAAATTGGAGTCCCTCGTGCAGGTAAGGTTTTACAATTGGAGTCCGTCCAGTCCAATTGGATGAAAATTTCATTTTTTTCAACCAAAACGACTGAAATGTTTACGTTTTAATGGAAGTCGAAACGGATCGAGGTATCTTTCGCTCGAGGTATTTTAAAACAGAATTTCAAAATTTTACGTTTATTTGAGGTTTTGTAAATAATTTTGAAACATTTTCGTTTTCGAATTAACGAAATTTTGATCCTTCCATCTTTACTTGTATGTTCTATGTTTTTACCATTTTTACTTTGTGAATTCATGGGCTTTGATTGATTAGCCCGCGAATTAGCTGGTGGCCGATTGGTGGGCAGGTAGAAGCAGAGTCATTAGGTTGGTCAAATGAGCTTGATGAGATGCGAGAAAAATTGGAGTCTCGCAAATTGGTTATGGGAAACATGTCAATGCATTCTAAGATCATGAAAGAGAAAGTTAAAAGGCAAGAGGAGCAACTAGGTAACGAAATTAAATCGCTGTTGGTTGCTGGGACTGTTCTTTCGGTAGCTTCTAAGAGCTTGCAGGTAATCTCGATGTATTTCGGTTGAATTGATGCCTTTTTGCCCGGCATTTGGTAAATTAAAAGAAAGCATATATCGGTTCTGTACTGCTCTTCTTATTGCTATTTGTTATTGTATCTGTTTAATATCATGATGGGAACAATGTATTCTATAGGAGAGATGAATTCAAAATGACAAATGGGGCATCCTTTTCAAAAGGGAGACGCTGGATAGGTCAATTGATGTACAAAAAGGTCCCTTCAAATGCTTCCATTGGCCCCTTTTTGATTGATTCTTATAAAATGACTAATACAAAAGGATAGAAAGGGCTTTTCTCTCGTGTTTGAGACCATATAAGGTTTTCTTCAATTGGCAAAGTAGGGATGGATCGGAGCCTAATAGGGATTTAAGAGATAGGGACTCCAACGATAAGAAAGAGTCACTAAGTGAATCAGTGGATCACACACTTGGCTCTTTGTACTGCTACCTGGTATTGTATCTAATTTATACCGTGATGGGAACAATGCCCTCTATAAGAGGGATGCACTCTAAATGAAAAATGGGTAACTCCAATCATTATTCTCTCACTTTTCCCTCAAAGTTTGTATCTGTGTCTCGATGCATCACTATTGTGTAAACTGTGGAGGGTGCCTCATGAAAGCTGGGATGTCTTCTGCAGTTCTTTCTAATCAGTTGCTTTTACTTATTCTTCGTTGAAGAGCTAGTTGTGGTTAGATCATAGGTGATATCCATCTCTAGTAACTAGTTTTATTACATCATTTTCCTCATGTTTCTCAAAATATTTTCTTGTTGAATTGTAAGGTGTGAGCTAGGTTTTTGTACATTTTTGTGCTACAGATATGTGATTATACTTTTAATATAGGAAGCAAATAGGTCACTTGCTGGAGAAAAAGGTTATGTTCATCTCAAAAACTTGCAGAAGTTGCTGAGAGTGAGGCAACAATATATGGTGGCACAAGTTTCACTGCTATATCCTGTGAAGGTTGTGATAGACCATGCACAGGAGCACGAACTTGAATCATTTACCAGAAGTTGTAGATCAGGTAATTTGCTGAATAATGGGAAGTTTGTGGTCAAGTTTGCTATTATTAGGTTATGCTTTCAGGCTCATAATTCTCTGTATAAGCTTGTTATCTTGTTCTGACAGTATTTGTGTAGAGCATCAACCATCTTTTTATTGCGATCACAAATAATTTAGAGTTTTGTTGTGTTTTCGTTTAAGGAATTTATGATCTAGATACGTTTCATATTCGTTGTTGACCAAATGCATATCCTAATGTAATAGGAATGATATAATTACTGGTTATTTTGTTTTGTAGGTTAAATCAATATTTTGATATTAAGAGCCGTCCCTTCTTTTTTTTTTTTCCTTTTGCAGTTGCAGGGAATTCTGATGGGTCAAAACATTTTGATCAAGGATCCTTGACTATTTCAGGTCTGCATCTGACTGTGCTCCCTTTTGCAAAGACGAGTTTTTTCACTGATAAGAAGGAAGTTCAGAGATCTGCAGCTGCACTGGGATATGTCGCACATGTGGGTTCTTTCTCTTTGCTTGACATAAAATTATCCACTATCAAAGAGCATCTGACATCTTTTGTTTTACAACTGATGCGTCTTGAGGTCCTTTTGCTTTTCATATTTAATTTCAAATGACATGATTTGATGATAGTTATTTGCACCAAATGAAAGTAGCATATGCTGTGTTATTGCTTTCTGGTGCGGATTAGGGACCAGACACTGTACTGCCTTAGATTGCTAATAGCTATACAGTCTGGTTCTCACAGGCCGTTTCACTTATTGCTTCCGACTTGGGAATTCCTTTGCGTTATCCTTTAAGAGTAGGAGGTTCTCGATCATATATTCGTGACCATGCACCTTCAATGGAACCTGCATCATCTGATTTGGCATCCATATCATCAGTTTCCATGAGTATGAAGCGGATAGAATTTCCTCTCTTTCTACAAGGGCAAGACTCGATGCGAGCAGCCTATGCTGTATTCTTGCTAAACAAGGTGTGCTTTCTTTTTAATTGTCCTGTGGGTCCAGTTGTACTATTTTATCTGCGAATAGAATTAAAAAGTTTGGAGTAGTGACATTTTTTCCAGTAGAATTTAATCATATGCTAATTTAACCATGATTCCTTTTTTCTTTTTTTAAATTAGTGTTTGTGGATCAGTTTTTTTTTGGCATTTAAAAAAGGGGATTCAATAAGGTCGTGAGTGTGGCGGAAGGAATTCCATACATCATGCAGGTTAGGAGAGAGGGTGGAGACATGACCCACCTCTGTCAGGGATTTTATTAAATGTCCATCATTTTATGCAGTATTTTCAAGTACTTCTTGTATTTACTACCAGCTTAGGGTTTCCCCTACTTGGATGGCCCTACTCATATTTCTCTCTATACGGTACATGTGTTTTTCTCTTACCTGTCCTTGCCCCCCCCCTCCCTCCATCTCTCTTTGCCAAGATGTTGGAAAATGCTTAGAACTGGTTGTCTCCAAGGCTGCTTTGTCAGTCTTGTATCTCTTTTTCACCATAAACTGCCTGACTAGAAAATGGTTTTGGATTATGAAATTAAATCCACTCTGTTGTTTTTCCATTACCAAATGAAATCAGGTGTATGTTATTCAAGTTTATTTTAACTTACTCATTGAGGTTATAAATCTTAGTCATTTCAAATCCATCTGAATAGAAGAAATGTGTTTCAATTAATCATTAGTGATAGAGGAAAATTCTCTTAACTTTTAAGTGACATTTCTGGGTTTTTGTTGATGTTTCAGAGCGCAACGTGAAATTCACTGAGCACTTCCATCATGATGTTATATACCTTGTTGAATTGTTTCTTAACTTCCATCTTTTTCCTCGCATGATTTTAGGATCTAGAGCAGCTTTTGAATTTCGTTGGCGTTAACAGTTTAGGGCCGCGGCATGTACTGGCTAATTTGAAGGAGCTCCTAAGGACCATTCTCTCTCGAGAATACATCGATACATGATCTGCACTTCCAATGGTAGTTGTAAGCTTTGTAATTGGATAATTTAAATCCTTATACAGGTGCCGATTTTTCTTGGAGCACCTTACTATAAACCCTGCCAATTGTATACAGCAACTCAAATTATGCTTAATAGAAATTTCATCTGGGTGTTGTTTTGTTCTGCTTTAAATTCTATTCACAGTGTTGTAAGCCTAATTTTTGATAGTTGGATACATCATGCATGTCTGAGAAGATGAATGATGAGTAATATTCTAAATGTGAGGGATTTAAATGATTAAGTGACAAGTATGCGAGGATTTAGGTGTAATTTATTTATTTAGTTTTAGACAATAAAATGACGGTTTTTAGTTTCAAATGTCCATTGATACAATTTTATATCTTTGAGGTATAAATTGAGATTTTTTATCTGTGAGGGTGGAAATTGAGATTCGAACAGTCTTTCAGGGTGTAATTTGAGATTAATCCATAATAATATACATACGTTGGATTATAATACTATTTGTCTTGGTAGTATTAAATTTTTTTATTATACATGTCTCTATTATAAACAATATACGATTATTATATATTTTTAAAATTAATACGAATTAAATTTATTTATTAAAAAAATATTAGATCCAATTAAATTAATAATAGTACAATATAATATGTAATTTACTCATACCAAACGAGCTCTATGCATATTAAAAAATAAAAATAGTTCCGCGTAGTGTAGTACGATGTCGTTTCAGAGCCAAGATATCTCGACTAATCCTCTCATTGATCATAAATTTTTTATAGTCTGATCTAAAGGAATTACGAAAATTCGAATTCAAAATATCTGAATTTACAGATTGTCGATGTTACCACTTGAGTTTAGAACCAAGATTTTGTATAGTAATAATAAATTTTATATTTTTTTGTGGATAAGTTTACGGTAAAAAAAAAAAGGGATATTGCATGGTAATAATAAATTTTAT